TCTCTGAGGCCACACTCTCCAGCCAGACTCCAGCTGACACCAAGATATCACACACCAGTGGCTAAGAAGGTGGCTTTAAGTGCTCCTGTGCTGGGAAGGTAAAATTCCCTCTGGAAATTCCCATGCGGCAGAAGGCCTGACGGATGGTAGACCGAGGGAGGCACGAGTGAGTCTGGTGTAAGTACTGCTTTCCTGTGAGTTTGCTAGGTGTGGTGACCCCAGAGGAAAAATAGAGAATACTGTCTAGGGCAGGATGGCATTAAAAGAAGAAAGGCACAGGCTTCAGAGTCATACAGACCTCGCTCAAACCCCAGCTCTGTCAGTTTCTCAACACATATAACCTCAGACAAGTGACTTAGCATATCTGGTCTCAGTTTCTTCATCTGCAAAATGGGGATACTATCCACCAGTCATTGAACCTAGTGAGTGTTACCAATAATAGTAATAGATAAGACATATTAAGTGCTTGCTATGAGCCAGGCACTGTCCTAAACACTTGGTGCATGTTAATCTCATTTAGTCCTCCCAACCATCCCATGAGGGAGCTACATTATTATCTCTATTTTGGGGGGGGAAGATGGGGATGGGCCTTGGCTCAGGAAGTCTCCTAGGATGGCCTCAGACCCCACTGACTCGGCTGCTTGATGAGCCAGCCTCATGCAGCATCATGCAGCCGGGTCTCCAGACACACTCCCCTGACTTCCTGCAGGCACAGACTGAGGGCCAAGGCGCTGGCGGGGCCACTGGCTCTGGGAAGGCCCAGTCACCCATGATGCCCAAATGCTCACTTCCACCCAGGGTGGGCTCTGGGCTCTGGCTGCCCTGGCCTGGGCCGGGTGCCCGGAACAGGCAGCCCTGACTGGATGGCTTTCCCTGGCTCGGGCCATGGGGACAGGAGGAGGCGGCAGCCCCGCTGGGCCCTGGCCGTAATGAGGCCTCATTAGCGGGATCCAGCTGCTCCAGCCCCACTTAGGGAGGCCGACTCCCTGGCCCCCGCCTCTGACTTTTCTTAATAAGAGTGGGCACGCCTCCAGAGGGGCAAGGCGTCTAGGGGCTTTGCTGCCCCCTGTGACTCTGGAGGGACAGTCCTGCTGAGCTAGCACTGAGACGTGCTGGAGGAAGAGGGAGGGCTGTAGAGAAGCTGTGTGGGGGGCCAGGCCAGGGCTGAGGAGGTGGGCTAGAGGGAAGGTGGGGAAGGGGAAGCGGGGAGGGCCCTGGGCCCAGAGAGGAAGCCTGAGGGAAGGTGGGCCTTTGCCTCTGGATCTAGATACCGTCCTTTTCACTGGGGAGGGGGCAGTTGTACATGTAGGACCAGTGCAAGCTCATTGCTCAGGCTGTCCTGGCTAGGAGAGCACCTCTGCTGTGCTGGGCCTTATATAAAGAGGTGCCCACTGTGTGCCAGTCCCTGAGCTAGGAGAACACCTACTGTGTGTCAAACCTTATGCTAGGAAAGTAGCCACTGTGTGCCAGGACCTGCATCAGCAGAGTGCCCACTGTGTGCCAAGTCTAATGCTGGAAGAACACACACTGTGTGCCTAGTCCAATGGTGAGGGAGCACTCATTGTCCCTGTGATGTGCTAGGTCTTGCACTAGGTGAGGACCCTGGGTATGCCAAATTCTATGCCAGGTGAGGACCTAATGTGTGCCCAGCCTTGAGCTGGGTGAGCACCCACTGCGTTTCTGGGACCATGCCAGATGAGTGCCCATGGGTGGCAGGCTCTCTACTAAGGGAGTGTCCAATGTCTGCCTTGTCTGTACTAGTTGAACATTTGGCACATGCTGAGACTTAGGCGAGGTGAGTGCCTCAGGGAGCAACAGGCCCTCTACTAAGGGAGTGCCCAATGTGCGCCAAGCCCTGTGTTTGTTGACTTCCCAGTATGTGCCAAGCCTGTACTAGTTGAGCACTTGCTACATGTCAAGACTCGGGCTGGGTAAGCACCCACTGTGTGCCAGGCCCTGTGATGGATACTGACAAGAGGTGTCCAAACCCTCATGTCAAAGCATAAAAGAACAGGTCAGGGTGGGGCAGCCCCAGGTGGCCGGTGGTGCTTACAAAGCCTTCTGGGATGTAGATGCTCTGGCACCCAGAGCCCTAGTCTGAGTGACTCTGCTCTTATTCATCACCAGGCTTCCTGGCGGCAGAAGCAAGCAGTGTGCTCAAAGACATGGAAAGAGGTCAATAAGGCTTACCAAGGCCTCGACTGCCCAAGACTCTGCAGGAGTGGGGAGCAGCACAGGGGAGGGGACAGAGGTGGCCAGCCCGGGAACTGGTGTGAAACGGTGGGGTTAAAGCTGAGCCAGTGGGGGCTCTCCTGCCTCCTGTCCAGGGCTCCTCTCTTCCAGCCCCTTGTCCTCTAAGGCCCAGGCAGCCCTGCCTTGCACGTGTAGAGGCCCTAGGTCTCCATGGAAAGACCACCCCACCCACCCCCTAGTGCCCCCAAGCATCCCAGCTGCTCCCAGGCTCGGAGGCACCCTGGCCAGCTGGGTTCTTGCACGACCCTGTCCTAGGAGCTGCTGAGGCGTGAGGGAGGCAGCTGAGCTGGCCTGGCAGAGACCATCTGGGCTGGGAGTGGGGGGAGGAACACGTGCAGCAAGCATGTGGGCCTGGGCACGTGCCGGGAAGTAGCTCAGTCCTCCATGGAGCACCTGCTCCAGAGCCCTGCACAGGCTCCAAGGATGACACAGGCATCTGTGGACACTGGAGAGGCCTGGAGAGCCAATGTCCTCACACCAAACCTGGGGTAAAAAGGGATGGAAGTGAGGACCCCATGGCAGGGGCCAGCTGCCCACCCCCTACATGCTAGGGCACAAACAGGACAACTTGGGAAGGTCCAAGTGCCATCGGATTACATGCACACCCTCAACATCCTCTCTTCTGACCTACCACGCATCTAAAGAAGTAGCATTGGAAAGGAACTTCCTTCGCCATTTGCCCTTAGGAAGACACAACGCCTCGCAAGTGCTGACTTGGCCGCCTGTGCTGGGAGAGACAGGGCGCGCAGGGGCCCCTGCCAGGGCACAGCACTGAATGGAGGCAGCTTCAGTTCCAAACTGGGACCCAAGAATAGAGAAGCCCAAGGTCAACAGCAGAACTGAAAAAGGCAGGAATAGAATCTCCGAGCGACCACTGGGGGTGCCCATGGGACAGCGCTGTGAGCCTCAAACGCAGCAACAGCGGGCAGAAGCCAAAGGGCAGAGAGAGCAGGGAGGGAAGCAGCCCCAGCTATCTTTAGGCACATCCTGGTGCTGGGAACGGGAGTCCCAAGGCAGCATTCCCATCCACAGACAGGCTGGCCGGGCTGGCCGGCAGAGGACAGGGTCTGGGAAGCCCAGCTCAGGCAGGGACTCTGGGACAACGAACGGGTCTCACATAGCTCCTGCCTGCCTGCCCCAGTCCTTCCAGGTCACTCCAGAGAAAGAAGAGCAGCCAGGGAGGACTCAGAGGGTTTCTTAGGTTTCCCGGGACTCAGATTCTCCACAGTAGGAAGGGACAGAGCCACACCCCTACTTCCTAACAAGGGGCCCATGGAAATTCCAAGACTTCTCTGGGAAAGGTGGGGCCATGTTTGGGTTCTAACCCAGGATCCACCCCTACCAAGTGTTCAGGTCCTAAGACCTCCATCTGTGCCCATTTCTGAGCACCCATGGTGTGTTCAGACTTGTTCCCACTGGGAGGGGCCAGACCAGAGCAGGCCTGAGGGACTGCAGGAGGGGAGGGGTGCTCAGGTTTAGAACAGTGTGAGCTGGAAGATCCCAAACAGAACAGAACAGAACCACCTGCTTCCTCCCCCAAACCACTCCTTTGGACCAGGTGCTTTCTTTTTTTCTTTTCTTTTTTTTTTTTTGAGACAGAGTCTCACTTTGTTGCCCAGGCTAGAGTGCCGTGGCATCAGCCTAGCTCACAGCAACCTCAAACTCCTGGGCTCAAGCAATCCTTCTGCCTCAGCCTTCCGAGTAGCTGGGACTACAGGCATGTATCACAGTATCCGGATAATTTTTTCTATTTTTAGGTAGATTAGTAGAGACAGGGTCTTGCTCTCACTCAGGCTGGTTTCGAACTCCCGACCTTGAGCTATCCGCCCACCTCAGCCTCCCAGAGTGCTAGGATTACAGGTGCTCTCCTGGCCAAGGTGCTTTGAGTCCAGAAACCTTTGGTGAGAGACAGGGTTCTCTGGGGGGGACTCGGCAGGACCCCAGGCCAGTCCTTCACTGAATGAGAAAAGCAATGGAAGGAAATGATGGGGCTGTGCTCAGTCACTGGCTTCTTGGCCTGACAGCCGACCAGTCTAGCCTGTCCCTAAAGCAAGATCCCCAGAGAAGTACAACCACTGCCCTTGGGATAAGATCTGGCATCTTTTCCCGGTTCCTGCCCCGGGTGCCTACCCGCTCCATCCACCTACCAGTCTTGCTCCTTCAGGGACCCGCCCCAGGCCCGGGTTTCCCATGGGGCCTCCCCACCAGCTCTGCTGTGCTCCGAGGCCGAGGGCCAAGGAAGGGCCCCTTCCACGAAGGGGAAGAGGGAAATTTTCTGAGAGCCCTTGAGAGAGGATTCCAAAAGAAATATTACTTTTCAGAGTGAGAAAAACCAAAGAAGAGAAAGCCCAGGCAGAGCCTGAGGACCCGTTGGTCAGCACAGACTGAGCATGCACTGGTGTCCTACTGTCCTCTCATCAGATGAACTATGTCCTTTCCTCTTGAGCACCTCTTGTGACAAGGATGGGGAGAGCGCCTCCTGCCTTCAGGTGGGCCTTCTGGGGGGTGGGGGTCTGCGGCAGAATCTGCCCAGCTGTGAGCTGGGAGCCTGGTGCTGTGTGACCTGCTGGGTGAGGGGCTGCCTTCCCCAGGCCTGCGACAGCATGGCACTCAGGAGCCCCGGCAATGCCAAACTCGGGCCGTGCCCAGAGCCCCCTAGGCCCTCCTGTCATGGCAAGCTGCCGGAGGGAGGTCCCAGGGGGCAGTGTTGTGATCCCCCCTGCCCGTAGTCTGGCCCCTGTACTCACCAGCATCCCTTTGGCACCTTTTCCGACCATTGTGGTCATAGGAGGGGGGCACTTTGCAGACCCAGACCTCACCAACAGGCTCTGCTTCCAGCACCTTTCAGAACACGGACCTCAAGAGCTGTGGAGAGAGCACAGGGGAAGGTGAGGACCTGGCCCAGGAAGGCAGGGCAGGCCAGACAGGTGGCGCAGAGCCATGCACCACCGGCCAGCTCGTAGTCCTCAATGCCCCCCACCCAGCCCAGCCCCTCTGCCAGTTCTCTTCCGCATCCCGCTCCTTTCTGGAGGGCTCTCGGATCCAACTTCTTCCCAGTTCTCCCAACCTTTCCCCTGGATCTCTCGATCTCCAGGCTTCCTGTCCCCATGGGCAAAGGCCTATTTCTGACTCTCCAGATGCCCAGTCCTATAAAAGATGAAAAATGAACACAGAGCTGGGATGGAGTCCAATCCCCTCATCGTCTGTGTGAATGGCTTCAGCTTGTCCCCAGGAGGGGACTCAGCTTGGATGAGCACACGCTCCCCTCCCCAACCTCACCCCGGCCAGGCAGCCAGCACGGTCCTGCCCCATCCTGATGCCACTCAGCATGGGCTCTAAAGCAGCTGGGCTTGTTGTTATGTCACTCATGTGGACCGTAAGCTTTGGGCAGGCCAAATGCCCCCCTGTAGTCAGTGACACCTCCTTGCCTGTGCACAGGCTGTCCCCCTCTCCTACAATCCTTCCCTCCCACTCACCAGGTGAAATTCTACAAATCCTAAAGGACCAGGCTTCAATGTCATCTCTTGTCTGTAGCCTTTCCTGACACTGTCACCCACCAGAATCAACAAATTGCTTCCTCCTTTCTGTTTTGTGACTTCTAGCATCCTTATCTCATATTACACTTATTTGCTTATAAGTTTGTCAACCATGAGTCAGTGAGTTCCCGGAGGGCTTGGGACTGGGTTTCCTTTACCCTCTGTGCCCAGCACCTAACCTTGCCCTCGGCTGGCAAGAGTGCTGATTGAATTGAGCTGAAACGGCATGGGTGAGGCAGAGGCACCTAGCAGGCAGCACCCAAGAGGCAAGGTGAGGCTGGTGTCCGGAGTGAGCACCAGACAAAGGAAGGTGTAGACTGGTTTAATGCAGACAGGATGGAAGAGGGGGTAGCTTTTGAAAGGCCTCAAAGAGAGGAATCAATCTTCAGAGAGCCTTAAAGAACTCTCTCGATGGGAGTTGGGAGGAAAACCCCATGTCACATGGATAAGGGCATTCAACTCCATAGGGCCTGGGCCCAGGAAAGATTTGGCCTTGCCTCTGGAACCTTCCCAGGAAAGAGGCTCTACTCCAGAGGTTGTTCTGGGCCACAATGCCCCACCCACAGCCACCTGTCAAGGGCCACCTCTCACCCACAAGCCCAGGAAGTCAGGAAGGCTGCAGGAGAGAAGAGGAAGCTCTTTGCCTATGCAAATGGGCCCTTGGCTTCTTTAGGCCCTTAGCCTGGAGCCTGGGCTCCTGCACAGCCTTCTCTTCAGGGTCAGGGGCAGGGAGGGAGGTGAGTGTAACCCTGTAGCCCAGGCCTGCCTGCCTCTCAATCATGTCCTTCTAAAGAGGTCCTGGCTCACGGCTTTGGTCTTCTGGAGGCAAGTAGGGGAAGGAGGGGGGTGTTCCCTCAGAAGGGGGTCATGCCCTATCCTTGCTCTCTGCCCCTGCAAAAGCAAACTCTAGATTTGACTTCCTTAAAGCTGTCTCTCTTTAGCCAGGGAATGATAATGACCGTGGTGATAGTAATAACAGCAGATGGCATTACTGAGCGCTCCTTATGGGCTGGATGTTATTTATCGTACCTCTGGTCTGGTGAGTGAGCTGAGGACACTGCCCTGGAACTTAGGCTGCAGAGCAGCAGAGCGTTCTCCCCCAGGTCATCCCAGGGCTGCTCTCGCAGCATGCAGTGGAGAGGTGGACTCAGAGAGGCCCGACGCCTTGTGTGAGTGCCTGAGTGTGGACTTGAACCCGCTTTTTGGACTTGCCATCTGTGACTCTGAGGTAACTTATCCACACCCAGGCAGTCACGAAAGCCTGTTCTGGGCCAGGTCCTGAGTACCCTCAGGTAGTGGCAGCTCAGTGGGAAAGACTGCTTAGTGGCTGCTTCCAGGAGAATGGGGTGGGCACAAAGCGTAGCTGCTTCTCCTGCCACTTCGGTCAAATGGCCCCATCCATCCTCTCAGAAAATCCCAACTGTATGCCCATGGTGTGCCAGCCCTCTCCTTGGTGCCAGAGATCCACAACGCCCAGGCCCCAGACCTGCCCCTAACTCATTCTGTGGGCCACCACTGTCACGTGGCAGTGGGTCACATCAGTTTAGTGTGTGGTGGAGAGCTCAGGTGCTCGGGTCTGGTAGGCCTGGGCGGGATTTCTGGCTCTGCCATATACTAGGAATGTAACTTCAAGCAAGTCACTTAACCTCTCTGAGCCTCAGTTTTCTCAATCTGGAAGATGGGGCTAATAATAATAATTCCTTTGTAAGTTCTAAAGTTTCTGCCTCATTTTTGTCTCTACCTCAAGTCCTCCACATTTTCCTTCCCTCCAATCCATTAATCTTCCAAAAGCCCTAAAGCCCTGATTCCCACCAGTCTTTCCCCACAGCCAGCAGGGCATGGCCTAAATTGCTCAGCAGGCACTTAACTAAGGCTGGCCACAATTAGACCCATTTATTCCACAAATGTTGACTGCAGGTCTGCCCTGGGCCAGACCTGTGCTAGGCACCAAGAACTCAAAGGTCTCTGCCCCCCTGCATCTTATGGGTTAGTGAGCAAGAGTGAAACTAATGACTCAAATTTAAATAACTACAGACTGAGATAAAGAATATGAAAGGGAAAGATCCTGTTATGAGACTTTACAGCAGGGGGGTCTGGCCCAGTCTGAGTCAGAGAGGGTGTCCCTGAGGAAGTGATGTTTAAGGGTTTAAAGGGATTAATTAGGCAAAGTGGCAATCGTGAGGAAAAGGGAAGACAGAGTCCAGCAAATGAAACAACACGTGAAAAAGCTCTGAGGCTGGAGCTCAGCCAGCCAGGGAGAAAGTGGCTGGAGATGAAGAAGGACAGAGAAGCCTTTGGGTCTGGGATTCAGTCTTCTCCTGAGGGCACTGGTGGCTGCTAATAGCTTTTAAGCAGAGGATCAACTTGGAGGAGCAGCTAGTGGAATGCGCATTTTGAAAACATCATCCTAGATGTAGTGTGGAGAAAGGATGGAGGCAGGTGAGAGCGGAAGATAGGAAATCTACCAGGGATGAGCTGGGCAGAAATGAGGAGAGGGCTTGGATCAAGCAGGTGATGAGGGGATGAGAAGCGCACAGATTTGAGAGGAATACAGAAGGTAGCACAGTGGGACTCAGTGATAAATTGGATTGGGGGGGCTAGTGAGGGATAAGGAGGGGTCGCTGGTCTCTGCGGGTGCCAGTCCCAGAGACAAGAATGCTGGTCGGCCGGGCGCTGTGGCTCACGCCTGTAATCCTAGCTCTTGGGAGGCCGAGGCGGGCGGATTGCTCAAGGTCAGGAGTTCAAAACCAGCCTGAGCAAGAGCGAGACCCCGTCTCTACTATAAATAGAAAGAAATTAATTGGCCAACTGATATATATATAAAAAATTAGCCGGGCATGGTGGCGCATGCCTGTAGTCCCAGCTACCCGGGAGGCTGAGGCAGAAGGATCACTGGAGCCCAGGAGTTTGAGGTTGCTGTGAGCTAGGCTGACGCCACGGCACTCACTCTAGCCTGGGCAACAAAGCGAGACTCTGTCTCAAAAAAAAAAAAAAAAAAAAAGAATGCTGGTGATGCTGTAGCTTTGCAGGGGGAGTTGATGAGTGAGGTTGGACAAGCCAGTCTGAGCTGCTTGTGAGCTGAGTCCAAGGACAGTCACAGGACTTGGTGTCTCTCCTCTCCCCCAAACAGGACTGTCAAGTCAATGGATGTTAAGGGCTAACCCCTGGAGTCCTCACTGGGGATGGAAAGGTGACAGGCTCTTTCCCTTAGTAGGAAGATAGAAGAGGAAGCACAATCTCCACTCGCTGTGATGGAGGGAGTGAAGGGCTGTGGGAGAAGGGGAGGGTCCTTAGGTCTACCTGGGAACCCAGGTCAGCTACCTGAGGCCATCTGCCCCCAGGCGGACTACCCAGCATTACCAGAGGACTCCTGCCTTCACACCTTTGCTCAGGCAGGGGCTCCCTCTTCTTCGAGCACTGTTTTCCCCATTTCCACCTGTATATATCCTATTCATTCTCGAAACCTATCCCAGTGCCCTTATCTTCATGGAGCCTTCCTTGGTCCTCCGGGTTGCCATCAACATTCCTACTGTACCCCCAGAGAACACTGTGTGCGTCTGATTAGCACGATAGTCACACAGAGCATTGCGGCATGCTTGCTTGTGTCCAAGTCTGGCTCCCCTACTAGCTGGAGAGCTCTTCTAGGGAAGAGGTGTGATTCTTCCATGCCCCCCAACCAGGAACTGAGCGGGCACCGCCACAGTCGCCAAATAGGCCGAGTAAGGAGGCGTTTTCTCTATGGTCCTTGGAAACACATGGGCATGCTCAGTGTCGCCCATTAGTCCCTAGTACCAGCCCCCTCATCCACTACTCTCCAACCTCCTGAAGCCCCCTCACTTTGGGATCTTTAATCTCTCAGGTTCTTCTCTCCTCCTCTACTCCTTGTCTCCCAGCCTTTATCTCCCAGGGGCCCGCAGCCTCATGCTGGTTTCAGCAAAGAAATAGACCCGGCTTTGTGAGGGAGCTGTCAGCGAGCCGGGGATGCGGCTCCTTTAAGAGCGATCAGCGAGGGGCGTGGCCTCCGGCGAGCAGGCCCAAAAGGGGGTGCGGCTCCTTTAAGTAGCTGCGGGCCCCCGGCGCGGAGGCCCGGGGCTGGCAGGCAGGGGCGCGGTCGCTCTCAGAGCTGCTGCAGCGCCCCGGTTCCTCGAAGCGGGGTGTGTCCGCTTTAATCGGGGTGCTAGGGTGGAGGGTGGGCGTTACATCAGCCACCACGTGTGGGCCGCTCAGCTGGCGTGGAGGCGGCGGCCCCGCCCCCGGCCCTGCCGTGGAAAAGTACCGGGCGCCGAGGGCCCCGCCCCGGGCCCCGCCCCCGGCCGCTCGGCCCCTCCGGGCCCTGCGGGCAAGCCCCTCCAGTCCCGCCCGGCCGCCGCAGCCTCCCGCCCGGCCGTGGCCGCCGGGTGCGGGCGCTGGCGGGAGGTGGGCGCCTCGGGACTGCTAGGCCCCTGCCCTCACCTGCGGCTGCCCGGCCCGCCCTAGGCGCGCCCGTGCTGCGGGGCGCGGTGGGGAGGGCGCGCATTCCTCCCGGGTGGCAGCCCCTAAAGAGCTCCCCGCTCGAAGTCCCTTCCCAAAGCCCCAGCCCCGGGAGCTGCGGACAAAGGGAGCCGGGAACGCCAGGAGTCTGCCGCGCGGCTTCCCGGGACACGCGGGCACGCGGGCACCGGCGCCCGGCGGGCGGGTGGGCGGGCAGATAGGAGGCAGGCCGGCTGGGGCGGCCAGATAGGCAGCCGGCTGGCCGGCGGTGGGAGAAGATGGAGCGGGAGCCCGCACGCGGGCGCAGACGCCGCCGGCCGATCTCGGCTCCTGCAGGCCCCTGGCACGCAGAACCACTGGCACCCCAGACGGACCGTGACACGCTCTGGTTCCGCCACTACCCGCACAGCCCGCGCCGCCGCCCCGGAGCGAGCCGGCATCTGCACGCAGCTCCCCCCTCGGGGAGCGGCCCCGTGCCCGCCCGCTTCAGCTCCTAGGTGACAGCAGTGACACCAAGACGCCCGCACCTACCCCGACCTTTGCGGCGAGACAGACATCCCGGTGCGTGCACCCACTCTCTTACCCACAGATGCCCGCATGCATGCGCGATCACTCTCTCTCTCTCACTCACACACACACACACACACACACACACGCACGCTCTGGTCCTGGGGCTCAGCCCCGCCGAGCCGCCAAACAGACCGACGGCAGGACAGACAGGGCGCGGGCCGCAGCGCCCCCTTCCCCCAGCCCCCTTACCATGCTGCAGCCCCCGGCCCAGGCGAGCTGGGTCCGCCGCGGTGCGCCCAGGTGGCTTTCTTAAAGGGAAAGTTGCATCAGCCTCCCGAGGCACCGTGCCGCCGCGAGTCCGCCCGCCCCGCCGCGCCGCTCGCAGCTCTTCCAGAGCTTGTTGTGTTTTGGTTTCGGGGAGGCGGGGGCTAAGAGTTTGGTGAAAGTTTGAAGAGTGGAGAAGGCTTGGGAGACCTAGCCAAGTCCCTCCCCTCCCTGAGCAGCTCCCCTGGCCGCCCTACCCCTCCCTCATCCCCTCCCTCCCCGTGCCGACTTCTCAGACTCCTCCTCCCAGGGAATAAAATTACAAGTCGCTCCAGCTTTCAGATGATTGATCCTCATGAACCCCTGGGAGTGGGCTCCACAAAGGAGCCCCCTTCTGCGCCCCTGCCTCGCTGCCCTCCAGCTGGGGCCCTTGGAGGAAGCAGATGTCGTCCCCTTCGGGCTAGGCTGGAATGAAGCCATAAGGCCTGGAGCACTTCAGGGGGCTGGGGCTGGAGTTAGCCCGCCAGGCCCCTGGCCTTCTGCGCCTGCGTTCCCCCTAGAGAGAAGTCAGAGCAAATTCCATTCCCTCTGGAGCTGAGCCGCTAGAGACTGTGGGCACAGCTGGGTAAGGCCTGGGTCCTGCTCCTTGGAACAGGCCGGCTGAGGGGAGCTCTTTCTCCACAAACCTTCCTTGGACCACTGGCTTGGTCAGCCGTTCTGTCATGGTGGCATAACAGGGGCTGCACACTCCAACCTGGGCTCCTTTTTCCCTCTGTGGGGAGACAGACCTGGGTTCAAATCCTAGCTAAAGCAATCTTTGCCAAAAGGACCTTTGCTGAGCCTCGGTTTCCTCCCCTGTGAAGAGAGCTTGGGCTAAGGAAATACACATATGTGTATATAGCACACTGCTCCAGGCCACCTCTGTTGGCGGTGCCTGGCATTTGGAATGGGGCTCCCACATTTGCTTACCCTGTGAGAGCCACCAGCTTCCAGGGAAAGGGTCCAATTAGTACTAATGTCAGAGGAACCGTTTTGCCCCCACCCTGAGTGGGGCATCTGCTCAGGGAAAGGGACCCGCCTCGAGAGACAGTCTCCACTCTGCACCCTGGTTCCTCACGGTTTTCTGGCTGGGAAACCGGTTTTATTTTTTTCTCGGGGACAGTCAGCCTCCAAGAAGCTGATGCACACGTGTCAAACTTTCACAAGACCAACTGATGAATGAAATTCCACTTTATTATTTTGTTATCAGAGACACTGAACAAGATAACAGGTACCAACAGGCACTACCTGCGCTGTGAGCTCTCGCAGGCCACACACAGTCCATCCCACACTTTCCCCAGGGCCAAGTGCGTATAAAAACAGCTCTCCACTGTCTCACAACCTACAAACTTCACACTGGAGACTCAGTCAGATCCGGGAAGATACCTTAGCAAGATTATTTACTTTGTCCCCAAACCTAGCAGATATAGCATGTTTGGGATTTTCTTCTATGTGCCAATCACAGGTGTTTTCTTGTGTGTGTGTGTGTGAAAGAGAGAGAGAGCGAGCGCTGTGCACTGCAGCAGGTCTGTGTAGTTGTGTGTGTGCCCAGCTCCTGGGACTGGGCAGACTGGATTCATGCACTCCTTGTCTCTCCTGCCAGGACCCAACTCCCTTGTAAATTGTTTCCAGGATCCTCTTCCCTGCCTCCTCCTTGGGGCTTGTCAAAAGGGCTGCCACCCAGGAAATGCTGAATAGAAGCTGTTGAAGAGGCCCCCAAGCAGCAAAGTGCGGACAGGAAGAGTGTGTGTGTGTGGGGGGGGGGGAAGGCCTCCTTCCTCCCTCCCCCTTGAAGCAGCAGGCTGGGGTAGGGGTGGGCCTGGGAGAGGGCACTGAGAATGTTCTGACAACACTCAACTAAGGCTCTAAGGCCCAGGGAAAGTGGGGCTTCCCACCTACATCAGGGAATCTATATGAAGGGAGGCAGGTGCAGGATGCTGAAGCCCGATGGCTGGGGCTGGGGGTTGGAAGAAGAGAGGACACAGGGTGCTCAGGGTTCAGTCCTCTGAGGCTCTGTGAGGAAGAGAAAGAGCTGGGGATTGACGTGGGAACAGGGAGGCAGCCTAGCACTTTAGCCCATGGAATAAGGAAAAGAGATTTTCCTTAGGGTGTTTGGGGAAATTGGAGATGTTGACTGTGAGGGTTTTGCTAGACTAACACTGACATAACACAAAGCCTATGGATGTGTGTATTTTACCCACCTGGATCCAGAAAGAGCTTCGGGGAGCCACATAGTAAGTTGAGTCCTTGGGGCAGGGGTCCCCAACCTATCGTGAGTTGTGTAATTATTTCATTGTATATTACAATGTAATAATAATAGAATGCAATAAAGTGCACAATAAATGTAACGTGCTGGAATCATCCCAAAACCAACCCCTGCCCCCGTCAGTGGAAAAATTGTCTTCCATGAAAATGGTCCCTGGTGGCTGGGTGCGGTGGCTCACACCTGTAATCCTAGTACTCTGGGAGGCCAAGGCGGGAGGATTGCTTGAGCTGAGAAGTTCAAGACCAGCCTGAGCAAGAGTGAGACCCCTTCTCTACTAAAAATACAGAAAAAATTAACCAAGCATGGTGGCACATGCCTGTAGTCCCAGCTACTCAGGAGGCTCAGGCAGGAGGATTGTTTGAGCCTAGGAGTTTGAGGTTGCTGTGAGCTAGGCTGATACCATGGCACTCTAGCCCAGGCAACAGAGCAAGACTTTGTCTCAGAAAAAAACAAAAACAAAAAAAAAACAATCCCTGGTGCCAAAAAGGTTGGAGACTGCTGCCTTAGGAGACACTTGTAAGAAAGATTCTGGTATGAAAAGCTGTCTCCATGAAACAGAGAACAGAGTGGGCAACAGGAGGAGACTCTGTCTCAGAAAACAAAACAAAACAAAATAACAACAACAACAACAAACGGTCCCTGGTGCCAAAAAGGTCAGGGACCACCACCTTAGAAGACAGATTCTGGTATGAAAAACTGTCTCCACAAGACAGGGACCAGAGTGGCTGCTTTTTTCCGATCAGAATGTGGCAAGGAAGGCAGGTTTGTGCCTTGCCCCGGTCAGAGCTGGGATGGCCTTCACCCCTGGCTGTGAGTCCCTGGCCCTGGGTGGCAGCTGGCCCACAGGGTGAGAAGGGCCTGGCCAGCCTGGGCCACTGCAGGAGAGCAGAGGGATCAGGCCTGAGGACCTACAGGAGGACCGAGGGGGTCAGACGTCTTGACTGGCCTACTTCTTCCTGGGGCAGGGCAGCAAGAGGCTGGCAGCAGATGGGCCCCACCCATCAAGGCGTGTCTCAGGAGCCTCCAGTTGCAGTGCTATTTCCTGGGAGGGCTGCACCCAGCGTCAGGTCCCCCCCCCTTGCTGGCTGGGTTCCTCATTTGTTGTCATCAACCAGCAGGATCAAGGCCTTTGTGTTGGGACGCAGTCAGCCTAGGTGTGTGTCTGGCTGGGGGAAGAGAGATAATGCCAGACTTGGGCCCCTCCTGGAGGTGGCTGTAGGAGCTGGCAGCACTGGCACCTTGATGGAGGGGTGCTCAGCGTCCTGCTGAGAAGTTGGGGAGGGGCAACATTGCTTAGCTGTGGAGCTTTATTAGCCGGAAGCATTATTGGGAGGGGCCTGGCTGGGCTTTACTCTCAAGATTCTTCCTCTCTTGAACTTGGGGCCCCGTGGTCAGTGCCTGGCACCTTCCCTGCCCTGTCCCAATGCAGGGGAGCAGGTTAGACAGATCCAAAAGCTGTCTCTGGGCTCCATGTGCCCCTCAGGCCATCCTGTTTTGTTTTCTCTGCCCCCCCCCAGATGAGCATAAGCCAATCCTGGGGCTCAGCAAGGTGTCTCACTGGACCTCAGGTGCCAAGTAAGATCAGGCATACCAACAGGAAGTGTTGACTTTGGCCCTGCCAAAGGGCAGCCCAGTATCCAGAGCATTCAATGCCCAGACTCCTAAATACCTTGGAATCCCCAAGGCCAAGAGTGCCAGAGCCCAACACTGCAGAGGACCCAAACCCCAGAGTTCCCAGTGCCCAACCCCCAGGGGGCCTAATGCCCGTGGTGCCCAACAGCTAGAACACCCAATGTTCATAACACCCGGCCTTCCGAGTACCAGCGTCCTATTCACTGGAAAAGAACCTGGAAGGAGGGAGCCGTGGCCCTATATGACCAAGGTCTGTCTCTTCTGCCTTCACTTGGGGGAGTGAATGCTATGAAGCTGGGGCCAGAGGGGAGCTGGCAGAAGCAGCAGTGCTTCCTTGATGCTACCACCCTGGGTCTGGAGCCGCCAAGAGGGGCTGCAGGAGAGATGGTGTTTCTTCCCGCCCCACCCCACCCTAGTCACGGGACCTGTGCAATTGAATGTCCATTTGCTCACTCACCAGATATTACTGCACATCTGCTAGGAGTACATCCATAAGAGACAAGGGTTTCTGCTCTCCCAGAGGGAATGGGTGACAACGTGTCTGTCCTGGGGTGTTGGTGTGGTTCAGCCTGTTGCCATCAGTGGCCCAGTTGAGTGAGACTGCAGGCACGGCTGTGAGCATGGCTGTCGGTGTGATGGTGTTGGCTGAGGCTGTGAGTGCAGACTGTGTCAACAAGTTGATGTGTGTGACTATCAGAGCAGGTCTGGCTATGTCCATCTCTCTAACCATCCTAATAATCCCTCCCTGCCTCACTGCTATTCTAAGGATGGGATGTAAGGCCCCCTTTCCCCTCAGATCCCCAGGTACGGAGGGTCAGGTCCCCTGTGGGGAGGAGAGGGCTAACCCCAGAGCCACCCTGCAGTGGGGCTGGAGATTTCTCCCACTGCTCTTGCCCTGACTGGACCCAGAGCCTCTTTGGATTGGAAAGACAGGAAGAGGGGTAGCTGTAAGTGGAGCAGCTGACACCAAAAATAGCCATCTGCCCTGGGGAAGATCCTGTGACGCCACCCCCTCTTCCAGTCCAACCCAACCCGGCCTGTTGACCTGGAGCCTGGGTAGGGTTCCTGTGTGACTCTGTCTCCCCTCAGACTTGAAGGGGGAAGAGAAAAATGACATCACTGCAAATTATGACATCATAGGAAGTTATGATATCACAAGGAGTGACACCAGGCAGGGAGTGGGAGTGGATGGCCTGCTGCCTTGGTGGGTGGGGCTCCATCTGCTGGCAGCTCCCCCAAGTCCCAGCAGCTGGGGCTGACATTGTTGGATAAGCCCTGCTGGGGACCCTGCCTTATCTGCCCCTCGCATGTGTCGGATAAGCCTCTTACCATGGGCTGGCCCAGGCGGCAGGTGGGAAGCGGCTGGAAGAGGAGAGGGCCAGCTGGGGCTGGCTGAGCTCCAGAGAAGACAGCAGGGGTTGGGGAGTCCCAGCAGAAGCCCAGGAGGGCAAGGCGAGGGGTCACAGTGAGGGAAGTGGGGAGCAGTGGTTTGGGCCGTGGATTCTGACGCCAGGCTGCCTGCATTCGTGGCCCAGGTATTCCCCTTAATAGCTATGTAAACTTGGACCGTGGTCTCCTCAGTACTCCTTGCCAGGAATTCTATTAGTAGTGACTACCAATCACAGCATCGATGTGACATTAAAGCATTTAATATGTCTGAAAGAGGCACAGAGGTGGGCTTGGTATACAGCAAGTACTCATCTTCCTTCCTAGGCCAGGAGCTTCCCCAGGAGGGGCCCACCACCTCCCGCAGTACACCTGGAGCCCAGCTGCCTGGCCTCAGGCACAGCCCCAACACCTACTCAGCCTGTCCTCACCGGACACTCCTCAGGAATCCTGGCCTTCCTGGAAATCCCCCCAGACACCTTGTAGCCCTTGTGCCCTCTGGTGACAAAAGCCATGCATGGCAGCTGGATCTACAGGACACACTGGGCCAGAGACGATACTGTCCCTTGTCTGCTTATTTTATGTCATCCTCACATCAAGTTGACAAGGTAGGAGTTATCTCCATTTTCTAGAACTAGGGCTCAGACAGATTAAATAATTTGCTGAAGGTTATAGAACTAATAAGTGGTAGAACTTGAACTTGAATTCAGGTTGGCCAGTCTGCAAAACCTATGGTCTGACCCCCTGCACAGTATGCACAGGCGACTTAGGAGGGTGTGCACACAGGGCCACACGATCCAGTAGATGTTTTAAACATGAGCCATACTGGTAGTTTGGGTGCGAGTAGGATTGGGTGTATGGTCACTGAGATTCTCTAGCTGTGACTATAAAATAGTGTCAATTGATTTTGAGCACAATAAGGTTGGGTGTTGGCTGTTGGGACTTTTTGAGTGGCTTTGGTGTGCGTGTATGATTGCATTGTATGAGTGTAACCATGGTTAGTCCTGTTACTTGTGTGAGATCAGCTGTGGCCGTGTGCGGCTAGTCTGACTCTGTGTGTGTATGTGTGTGTGTGTGTGTGTGTGACAGAGACAGCCAGAGATGGTATGGCTGTGTTGCAGAGGGTGTGTAGCTAGTGGGATTGTGTGGGGAAAGGTGACGGAGGGCCCCGAGTTCCCAGCGCCACTCGCCTTTTTGGTCCCATGCCTGCGTCTGCTCACCATGGCATATGTGATGGATGACTTCACATGCCTGACACACTCCCATGAGCCTGCCTGGGATTTCATTTCCCCCTTTTATTTTTTGAGGAAGTAAAGCAAATAGTACCACAGATGAAGTTGGTCTTCGTTTTTTCTGTGGGATATTTGTGAAAGCATTTTACATGCCTTTGAATGTTATCTAAAAAGAAGTGTCATTTTATTTATTTATTTATTTATTTATTTATTTTTTGAGACAGAGTCTCACTCTGTTGCCCTGGCTAGAGTGCCATGGTGTCAGCTTAACCTCACAGCAACCTCAAATTCCTGGGCTGAAGCAATCCTCCCTGCCGGTCAGCCTCCCGCAGTAAGCTGTGGACTCAGAGGCTGCACCACCCATGCCGGCTAACTTATTTCTATATTTTAGTTGCCAATTGAATGCTCTTTGATTCTCTTTAGGTAGAGACGGGGTTCCCTCGATCCTTGCTCAGGCTGTCTACGAACTCCTGACCTTGAGACGATTCCTCCGCCGCTTCGGCCTGCCCAGCAGTGCTACAGCACCCGACCTGCTAGGACTTTACTAAGGAGGTCCCTGCACCCAGCGCCAGAAGTGTCATTTCTAAACAAAATTGCTCGGCCGCCCGCGGCGTGTGGCTCCGCCTGTAATCCCCTACTCCTTGCGGGAGGACCCGAGGCCGGCGGCGGCATTGCTCAAGGTCCCAGGCAGCTTCAAACCAGCTGACGAAGAGCGAGACCCCCCCGTTTCCTACTATACCAATACGCAAAGAATTAAGTTCTGGCGCGAAGGCTGACTATAGTCAAGTACCAAGAGAGGAGCCGGGCCAGTCGGCTGGTGCCATGCCTGGTAAGTCTCAGCTACCGGCGGAGCTGAGCGCAGAAGGATACTGGAGCCAGGAGTCTCTGAGGCTTGCGTGAGCAGGCCTGACGCACAACGGCACTCACTCTACGCCCTGGGCAACAAAGCGAGGACTCTGTGCTCAAAAAAAAAAACAACAAAAAAAAAAAAAAAAAAAAAAAAAAAAACAAAGAAAATTTGAATTTGGTTACCTTCTAATTCTTTAAACATTAGTTCTTAAGGTGTGTGACTGGGATCAAGGTGTTCCTTACAGGGGATCCACAGGCAAAATTGTTTTTCCTAACAATACTAAGTTGTTATTTGCCATTTCACTTGGTTGATATTTGCACATGATGCAAGAGCAACAGTGGTAAACACAACTGGCGCCTAAGCAGCCATCCAGCTCGGCACCACTGTGCTGGTAGCATTCTTCTCTGCTATGGTCGCATGAACAGTAAGACAAGAGGGAAAAGCAATTTCACTTAAAAGTCCTTTGATGAAGCAGTAAAATTATTATTTTTTTGTGGTCTTCTGTATCAGTAGTACTTTGTTTTCATTATGGAGTCGTATTTCATTGTATAGATATTATGCAATTTGTGTAAACATTTACATGTTGATGGACATTTGGGCTGTTTTCCACTTTTTATTATATAAAGTTGCTATGCACATTCACATACATATCTTTGTGTTATATTGTCATTTCTTTTGAGTAAATACTTGGGAGTGGAATTGCTGGATCTATTGTGCATAGGTGTTTCATTTTATAAGAGATTTCAGTTTCCCAATTGGCAATATTATTGCATCTTTCAGCAATTATGAGAGTCACAGGTGCTCTGAATCCTTACCAGCATTTGGCATTGTTTATCTTTTAAATTTTAGCCATTTTTGTAATAGGCGTGCAGTGGTATCTTATTGTGTTTTAATTGCATTTCCTGATGATTAATAATATGAGCATCTTTTCATGGGCGTTTTGCCATTTGTATATCTTCTCTAGTGAAGTGTTCATTCAAATCTTTTGATCATTAAAAATAAGATTGTATTATTATTAGAGGTTATAAGAGTACTTGTTATATTCTGGATATAAGTCAAATATTTTTGTAGTCTGTTCTTGTCTTTCATTTTCTTCCTTCCTTTCTTTTTTTTTTTTGAGACAGGGTCTTGCTGCAACCTCAAACTCCTGAGCTCAGTGATCCCTCCTGCCTCAGCTTCCCAAGTAGCTGTGACTAAAGGAATGTGCCACCACACCTGGCTAATTTTAAAATTGTAGGACAGGGTCTTGCTTTTACCTACGGCTGGTCAAGCAATCTTCCTGGTTTTAAGCAATCATCCTGCCTCAGGCTCTCAAAAGTGCTAGTGATTATAGGTGTGAACCACCATGCCCAGCCCCATTCCTTTTTTTTTTTTGAGACAGACGTCTCGCCTGTTGTTGTCCAGGCTAGAGTCGAGGTGCCGTCCGGCCCGTCACCCTACTCACCAGCAACCTCAAACTCCTGGCCTCCAAGCAATCCTTCCTGCCTCAGCGCCTCCACCGAGTGGCTGGCGAATACGGGCATGCGCCACCATGCCCGCTAATTTTTGTATATATCATCAAGTGGCCCCAATATCTTCTTTTCTATTTATAGTAGAGACGGGGTCTCGCTCTTGCTCAGGCTGGTTTTGAACTCCTGACCTTGAGCAATCCGCCCGCCCCGGCCTCCCAAGAGCTAGGATTACAGGCGTGAGCCACAGCGCCCGGCCCCAATTCCTTTTTAATTGCTATCATTGAGTCACCCAGATGATTCTATGTTAGCCACAACTCAGGGTCACCTCATCTGTGTGTCAAGTACAAATAACCTAATGTCCCTCAAACCCTAGGTCACCCACAACACATTGCCACCTAGACCCCACATCACCTGCAAGTCTATGTCCCCAAAACTTTCTGTTATCCAAAATCCTGTCATTGATACTTGTGTGACACATAACCTGAGTGGTGTCCATGCCTCTGTTATGCCTTTTCATTTTCTTTTATTTTCCTTTATTTTTATTTTTTAATTTTTTTGAGACAGAGTCTCGCTTTGTTGCCCAGGTTAGAGTGAGTGCTATGGAGTCAGCCTAGCTCACAGCAACCTCAAACTCCTGGGCTTAAGCAATCCTTCTGCCTCAGTCTCCCAAGTAGCTGGGACTACAGGCATGTGCCACCATGCCTGGCTAATTTTTTCTATATATATTAGTTGGCCAATTAATTTTTTTTCTATTTATAGTAGAGACGGGGTCTCGCTCTTGCTCAGGCTGGTTTCGAACTCCTGACCTTGAGCAATCCACCTGTCTCAGCCTCCCAGAGTGCTAGGATTATAGGTGTGAGCCGCCTTGCCCGGCCGCCTTTTTATTTTCTTAATGGTGGCTTTCAAAGAATAAAATTTTTCATTTTGATGAAAATCAATTGATTAACTTTTTCTTTTGTAGTTTGTATATTTTGAGTCCTATCTAAGAAAATATTGACTCAACGCAGGGCCTCAAAGATTTTCCCTTATGTTTTTGTCTACAAGTTTTATACTTGTAGCTATTACTTCTAGGTCTATGATCTAGCTTTGCTTTAATTTATTAAATTGTATGAGGTAATGAGTTAAGTTTTGTTCATCTTTGTCTTTTTGTTTTGTTTTGTTTTTAGAGACAGGGTCTCACTTTGCTGCCCAGGCTGGAGTGCAGTGGCCTGATCATAGCTCACTGCCGCCCTGAACTCCCGGGCTCAAGTGATCCTCCCGTCCTTTGGGAGCAAAGTGCTAGCATTGTAGCTGTGAGCCACCTTGCCTGGCCTTGTTTTTGTTTTGATTACAAATTTCCAATTGTTCTAGCATTATTTGTTGAAAACATAACTGTCCTTTCTCCAATGAATTACCTTGGGATCTTTGTCAAAAATCAATGGATCATATACATACAGATCTAATTTGGACTTTCTATACTGTTCCGTTCATCTTTTTTTCCTTCTTTTTCTTCTTCTTCTTAATTTTTTTTGAGACAGAGTCTCACTCTATTGCCCTGGCTAGAGTGCTGTGGCGTCAGCCTCGCTCACAGTAACCTCAAACTCCTGGGCTCAAGTGATCCTCCTGCCTCAGCCTCCCAAGTAGCTGGGACTACAGGCATGCGCTACCATGCCTGGCCAATGTTTCTCTATATTTTTAGTTGTCTAATTAATTTCTTAGTATTTTTAGTAGAGATGGGGGTCTCGCTCTTGCTCAGGCTGGTTTCGAACTCCTGACCTTGAGCGATCCTCCTGCCTTGGCCTCCCAGAGTGCTAGGATTACAAGTGTGAGCCACCGTGCCTGGCCCTTGTTCCATTCATCTTTATGTCTATCTTTATGCCAATTCCACCCTGTAGTGATCACTGTATTCTTATATTGTTTAGAAGAAGCAGTAAAATTATTAATTTTATTAATTGTTAACCCTCAAGTACATGCCTTTTTTATATTTTGTGTGACAAAATGGAGAGTATCTTTCATCTCAAGGAAAAGCACTTATGCAATTGAATCATGCGCTGAATTCACCAAACACCAATTGTACTTAAAAGAATAAGTGACAA